CTTTAAGTGTTGGTGTTTAACGCTTGGCGTTTAAGGGTTGGCGTTTTAGGGTCGGTGTTTAAAGGTTGGTGTTTAAGGGTTTGCGGTTAAGGATTGGTGTTTAAGGGTTTGCGTTTAAGGGTTGGCATTTAAAGAGTTAGCGATTAAGGGTTGTTGTTAAAGGTTTGGCGTTTAAGGGTTGGCATTTAAGGGTTGGCGTTTAAGGGTTGGCGTTTAAGGGTTGGTGTTTAAAGGTTGACGTTTTAGGGTTTGAATTTTAGCATGTTTAGGTTTTGGCGTTTAAGAGTTGTCCTTTAAGTGTTGGTGCTTAAGAGGTGGTGTTTACAGGTTGGTATTTAAGGGTTGGCGTTTAAGGGTTGGTGTTTAAAGGTTGGCGTTTAAGGGTTGGCGTTAAAGGGTTGGCGTTTAACGGTTAGTGTTTAAGGGTTGGCGTTTAATGGTTGGTGTTTAAGGGTTAGTGTTTAAGGGTTGGCGTTTAAGGGTTGGCGTTTAATGGTTGGTGTTTAAGGGTTGGCGTTTAAGCGTTTTCGTTTAAGTGTTGGTGCTTAAGAGTTGGTGTTTTCAGGTTGGTGTTTAAAGGTTTGGCATGTAAGTTTGGCCTTTAAGGGGTTGGTGTTTAAGGGTTGGCGCTAAAGGGTTGGCGTTAACGGGTTGACTTTTAAGGCTTGGTGTTTAAGGGTTGGTGTTTAATCGTGTTTAGGCTTTGGCGTTTAAGGGTTGTCGTTTAAGGTTTGGTTCTTAAGAGTTGGTGTTTACAGGTTGGTGTTTAAAGGTTTGGCGTGTAAGTTTGGCATTTAAGTGTTGGTGTTTAACGGTTGGCGTTTAAGGGTTGGCGTTTTAGGGTCGGTGTTTACAGGTTGGTGTTTAAGGGTTTGCGTTTAAGTATTGGTGTTTAAGGGTTGGCGTTTAAGGGTTGGCATTTGAAGAGTTAGCGATTAAGGGTTGGTGTTTAAGGGTTGGCGTTTAAGGGTTGGCATATAAGGGTTGGCGTTTAAGGGTTGGCGTTTAAGGGTTGGTGTTTAAGGGTTGGCGTTAAAGGGTTTGTTTATGGGTTGGCGTTTTAGGGTTGGTGTTTTAGGGTTTAGTGTTTAAGGGTTGGTCTTTAATAGTTGGCGTTTAAGCGTTGACGTTTAACGGTTGGGGTTTAAGGGTTGGCGTTTAAGGGTTGGCGTTTTAAAGGGTTGGCGTTTAAGGGTTGGCGTTTTAGGGTTGGTGTTTAAAGGTTGGTGTTTAAGGGTTGGCGTTTAAGGGTTGGCATTAAGGGTTGGTGTTTAAAGGTTGGCATTAAAGGGTTGGCCTTTAAGGGTTGGTGTTTAAGCGTGTTTATGTTTTGGCGTTTAAGGGTTGGCGTTTAATGGTTGGTGTTTAATGGATGGCGTTTAAGGGTTGGTGTTTAAGGGTTTGGCGTTTAAGGTTTGTCTTTAACGGTTGGTGTTTAAAGGTTGGTGTTTTAAGGTTTGTTTTTAAGGGTTGGCGATTTAGGGTTGGTGTTTAAGGGTTGGCATTTAAGGGTTGGTGTTTAAGGGTTGGTCTTTAAAGTGTTAGCGTTTAAGGTTTGCCGGATGATGGTTGACGTTTAAGGGTTGGCGTTTAATGGTTGGTGTTTAAGGGTTGGTGTTTAAGCGTTTTCGTTTAAGTGTTGGTGCTTAAGAGTTGGTGTTTACAGGTTGGTGTTTAAAGGTTTGGCGTGTAAGTTTGGCCTTTAAGGGTTAACGTTTAAGGTTGGTGTTTAAGGGTTCGCGTTTTAGGGTTGGCGTTTTAGGGTTGGTGTTTAAAGGTTGGTGTTTAAGGGTTTGCGGTTAAGGATTGGTGTTTAAGCGTTTGCGTTTAAGGGTTGGCATTTAAAGAGTTAGCGATTAAGGGTTGTTGTTAAAGGTTTGGCGTTTAAGGGTTGGCATTTAAGGGTTGGCGTTTAAGGGTTGGTGCTTAAGAGGTGGTGTTTACAGGTTGGTGTTTAAAGGGTTGGTGCTTAAGAGTTGGTGTTTACAGGTTGGTGTTTAATAGTTTGGCGGGTAAGGTTTGGCCTTTAAGGGTTGGTGTTTAAAGGTTGGTGTTTAAGAGATGGCGTTTAAGGTTTGGTGTTTAAGGGTTGGCGTTTACGGGTTGGCGTTTTAGGGTTAGCTTTAACGGTAGGTGTTTAAAGGTTGGTGTTTTAAGGTTGGTTTTTAAGGGTTGGCGATTTAGGGTTGGTGTTCAATGGTTGGCATTTAAGAGTTGGTGTTTAACCGTCGGTTTGTAAGGGTTAGCTTTCAAGGGTTCGTGTTTAAGGGTTGGTCTTTAAAGAGTTAGCGTTTAAGGTTTGCCGGATGAGGTTTGGTGTTGAAGGATTGGCGTTTAATGGTTGGTGTTTAAGGGTTGGTGTTTAAGGGTTGGTGTTTAAAGGTTGACGTTTTAGGGTTTGAATTTTAGCGTGTTTAGGTTTTGGCGTTTAAGAGTTGTCCTTTAAGTGTTGGTGCTTAAGAGGTGGTGTTTACAGGTTGGTATTTAAGGGTTGGCGTTTAAGGGTTGGTGTTTAAAGTTTAGCGTTTAAGGGTTGGCGTTAAAGGGTTGGCGTTTAACGGATAGTGTTTAAGGGTTGGCGTTTAAGGGTTGGCGTTTAATGGTTGGTGTTTAAGGGTTAGTGTTTAAGGGTTGGCGTTTAAGGGTTGGCGTTTAATGGTTGGCGTTTAATGGTTGGTGTTTAAGGGTTGGCGTTTAAGCGTTTTCGTTTAAGTGTTGGTGCTTAAGAGTTGGTGTTTTCAGGTTGGTGTTTAAAGGTTTGGCATGTAAGTTTGGCCTTTAAGGGGTTGGTGTTTAAGGGTTGGCGTTAAAGGGTTGGCGTTAACGGGTTGACTGTTAAGGCTTGGTGTTTAAGGGTTGGTGTTTAATCGTGTTTAGGCTTTGGCGTTTAAGGGTTGTCGTTTAAGGTTTGGTTCTTAAGAGTTGGTGTTTACAGGTTGGTGTTTAAAGGTTTGGCGTGTAAGTTTGGCCTTTAAGTGTTGGTGTTTAACGGTTGGCGTTTAAGGGTTGGCGTTTTAGGGTCGATGTTTAAAGGTTGGTGTTTAAGGGTTTGCGTTTAAGTATTGGTGTTTAAGGGTTGGCATTGAAGGGTTGGCATTTGAAGAGTTAGCGATTAAGGGTTGGTGTTTAAGGGTTGGCGTTTAAGGGTTGGCATATAAGGGTTGGCGTTTAAGGGTTGGCGTTTAAGGGTTGGCGTTTAAGGGTTGGCGTTAAAGGGTTTGTTTATGGGTTGGCGTTTTAGGGTTGGTGTTTTAGGGTTTAGTGTTTAAGGGTTGGTCTTTAATAGTTGGCGTTTAAGCGTTGACGTTTAACGGTTGGGGTTTAAGGGTTGGCGTTTAAGGGTTGGCGTTTTAAAGGGTTGGCTTTTAAGGGTTGGCGTTTTAGGGTTGGTGTTTAAAGGTTGGTGTTTAAGGGTTGGCGTTTAAGGGTTGGCATTAAGGGTTGGTGTTTAAAGGTTGGCATTAAAGGGTTGGCCTTTAAGGGTTGGTGTTAAAGCGTGTTTATGTTTTGGCGTTTAAGGGTTGGCGTTTAATGGTTGGTGTTTAATGGATGGCGTTTAAGGGTTGGTGTTTAAGGGTTTGGCGTTTAAGGTTTGTCTTTAACGGTTGGTGTTTAAAGGTTGGTGTTTTAAGGTTTGTTTTTAATGGTTGGCGATTTAGGGTTGGTGTTTAAGGGTTGGCATTTAAGGGTTGGTGTTTAAGGTTTGGTCTTTAAAGTGTTAGCATTTAAGGTTTGCCGGTTGATGGTTGACGTTTAAGGGTTGGCGTTTAATGGTTGGTGTTTAAGGGTTGGTGTTTAAGCGTTTTGGTTTAAGTGTTGGTGCTTAAGAGTTGGTGTTTACAGGTTGGTGTTTAAAGGTTTAGCGTGTAAGTTTGGCCTTTAAGGGTTGACGTTTAAGGTTGGTGTTTAAGGGTTCGCGTTTTAGGGTTGGCGTTTTAGGGTTGGTGTATAAAGGTTGGTGTTTAAGGGTTTGCGTTTAAGGATTGGTGTTCAAGGGTTTGCGTTTAAGGGTTGGTGTTTAAAGGTTGACATTTTAGGGTTTTAATTTTAGCGTGTTTAGGTTTTGGCGTTTAAGAGTTGTCCTTTAAGTGTTGGTGCTTAAGAGGTGGTGTTTACATGTTGGTATTTAAGGGTTGGCGTTTAAGGGTTGGTGTTTAAAGGTTGGCGTTTAAGGGTTGGCGTTAAAGGGTTGGCGTTTAACGGTTAGTGTTTAAGGGTTGGCGTTTAAGGGTTGGCGTTTAATGGTTGGTGTTTAAGGGTTAGTGTTTAAGGGTTGGTGTTTAAGGGTTGGCGTTTAAGCGTTTTCGTTTAAGTGTTGGTGCTTAAGAGTTGGTGTTTTCAGGTTGGTGTTTAAAGGTTTGGCATGTAAGTTTGGCCTTCAAGGGGTTGGTGTTTAAGGGTTGGCGTTAAAGGGTTGGCGTTAACGGGTTGACTTTTAAGGCTTGGTGTTTAAGGGTTGGTGTTTAATCGTGTTTAGGCTTTGGCGTTTAAGGGTTGTCGTTTAAGGTTTGGTTCTTAAGAGTTGGTGTTTACAGGTTGGTGTTTAAAGGTTTGGCGTGTAAGTTTGGCCTTTAAGTGTTG